TCCACTGGAAAAACAAAAAACAAACAAAAAGAAGAAGTATAGAAATATTGATACAGATATAGATAGGACATAGATTTAAGAATGACCTATATGTGTCTTTTTAGTGATTTCTGGGCAGGTGAATAAAATTAGAGAACTATTTTTCTTTCCAAGCCTATATCAGGTTTCATTAATTAGAAATACACGTTTAGGGACTGCAAATCCAAGCATGCTTCTAATGTTAATTAGAAAATGCTGAAGTTAATATTGCAGGTGCAAACCAGATCCAGATCATTTCTGTGTACGTTGTAGAGGTGGGATTAATCTCACTTTTACCATCTGAAAGTTAGACGATGAATCACAAAGAGTCAGGTGGGTTCCTTAGCTGTATCAATAGGCAGAGGTAAAACAATTAGTAGTGTGGTTCATCCAAAATTAAGGTAGGTACGAGAGAAGGGAGGCATACCTCCCTCAGAGCATGCCCCTCTCTCTGTGCTCTAGGGAGAGTGCAAGTGACTTGCTCGCAAGGTGGGTGCCACCATAGCAAATGATATGTTATTTTTACTCGGTGCTTACTGAATCTTACTCTTCAGTATCTTCTCTTTTTATCCTTTCCCTGTAATGCATAAGCCTCTGCATTATTTTAGTCTGTGCTGTTGAATATAGCATAGAATACTGAATTTATTAATTTTCAGTGTGACTTTTTAATGTGCTCAAGTACAGTATTTGTTAGCTCTTTACAAACATCGATTATTGTCTTCAAAGATGTGTCACAAAAAAAGGTAATATTACACCCACTTCCTTTTACAAAAGAGGAATGAAAGTGTCAAGATTAGAGTTGTTGAAAGCTTCCCTGAACTTCGAGTGTGCACAGACTGATTTTTCAGTGCTTACAGCACTATACATTATTTTGGAAGTGTGAAACACAGCCTATTGGGACCTGGATTGCAACTGTGAGACGCTAGTGACTTCTGCAAACCACCATTTCCCACACCTTGTGTTTGCCACTGTGAAAAACAAAAAACTTTTACTCCAATTAACGCTGTTAGTTACAGCCTTTTTCTGGGACAGTATCACTCTGGAATAATGCCACCTGAATTCAATTGGCTGGCCCACACTCTATAAGGTGTCATTTGTCCAATTTAACTGTAGGAGCATTGCTTCTGTCACTGTAGATCCATTTTAATCCATATTCTGCAATGTTAGTGCTGCAAAAAAAGCAGCTGAGCCTTAGGCGACAGCAGCCTCCTCCATTGCAGTCATAACAAATTCCACCAGAACAGGCCATTCTTTGCTCCAAGTAAGGCAAGGAGTCCTGAGGGAAAACCACAGCAGTTTGTAATCAGGTCACTAAAAGAGCTTATGATAATATTCAGAAGAAGTATGGAGTAAGATTTCACAAGTAAATTGAATTTAATTTTTCATTCTTGATTTTGCAAATGTAGATTTCTTCTAACAATTTACAAATATTGTACACTATTTTGAACAAGTCAGCAACTGGGAAAGATGTCTCTGAGTGAAAGCTCTGCCTGGGTCATCAACAGCACTAGGTACTTTATTTGGCAGGTTTCCATCAGCTAAACTCACACTCTAAGTGATGGTGATACTGTCGTCTCCTGGGCGCTAGAGGGAGATGGATACACATACTTTGTTGGTGGATTCCACAGCTGGAGAAACAGTGCTTCTGGTTTCAACTCCAGAAGCTAAAATAAGTGGTGACAAGCCTTTCTTTCCTCATTGTTTCTCTCTCCCTCTCTCTTTCTCTCTTTTTTTTTTTTTTTTTTTGCTGGGGGAGGGGGAAGCAAGGATTTTCCCTTGTCTTCCTTTTGCCTTCTGTTCGTTTCTGTCTCTGCTTCTTCATTCCAATGCATTATTTCCATTGACTTCTAAAGGCTATCTTGTGCTGTGCCTTTCCACCTTCCAGGGAGAGCTCCTGCTTTTGCTCCTAACCTCTGCTCATGATCCCTCTTCTCTCCTGTTCCTGCCTGTTTCTTGTACCTGCATAGCCTCCACCTTTATACGCAGTTTATTTACAGTAGATACAGATTCTTACTGTCCTCAGCAAGACAGTACTATCTCAGCCTCTTTGAACAGGATACCAAGCAAACGATTATTACAATTCATGCTCCCTCTGTGATCAGGTCTGTGAGATGGGGAATGTTCGCCTACATAGAGCATTAGCTCAAGGTTGTTGAGCTTTTTCATTGCATAAGGACTAAAGATGTGATTTGTTGAAGACATGTTGAAGGACTGAATCTCGTATTCAGAAAATAGTGAGGTGAGGTCCATGAGTATCAGATCTTGTGGGAGTTCCCTCTGAAGCCTAGTGTTTGCCTTCACGGTAGAAGGTCAAATCATCTTGAAAACCCAAGCTGTTGACTGTGATCTTTACTGTGGAGTGCTAGGCATTCTTTTCAGACAACTGGTTACATAGACACACACTAGGCTAAGAGCCATCAGCAAATACAGCACTATCTTCCAGTTGAGCCAAGCCATGGGAACTTGTTGGCATTGTGCCCTCCAATTCAAGGAGAGTTGAATTGAAGCCATTGTATATCTTACAGATAAAGTCAAAGACCTTGCAGTAGATTTTGATAAGAAGCAAAGTTGTGAACAGAGACTGTCTGGTATGTTCTCAGTAGTCTGAAATTCAGCCTACTGAACCATGAACCCTGTCCTGGATTCAGGTTGTTGGTGAGTCACTAAGCAGGACTTTGGCTTATGAAAGTAAGCTGGACTCTACACAGAAATGAGCTCTATTAATAAGCTACTTCTGTCCCCCCTCCTGCCTTTTTTGATCTCCCTTGCTGTTCCTCTCTCTAAGCCCCCATGACTGTTTCTCATGTTGCATGTTTTCTGTGTTTTATACCTCTGTCTAAAATTCCTCACTCTTCCCACTGAGCTGAGGGTATTTCTTTCCCTCTCTGCTCTCTTCACAATAGCAATGGGAGCACTGAGATCAGAGCAGAGATCCTCTTCTCATTCCCATTGCAGAAGCTGCTGCATGTGCAAGGCTAGCTGGGTCCTGCTCCTTCCACCCGGACCTGCACTGCACTTTCATTGTGCAAGTGGAGCATCTGTTGTAGAGGTAGAAGCTGTTAGGACTTGGGAGGTGTTTGAGAGAGAGAAATTTGTGTGTCTACTGCCAAATGATATTGTTGATACCAAATGTACAAATACCACTTTTGGATGTATACTGCTTGGTTAAATTTTAAGAACAGACAAAAATCAAATGTCTGGAACTAATGTTTAAATTCAGTATCATAAATAACTAAACATGGAATATCCTGTTATGATACACCAGTTGGTCTGTGGCAATACTATTGAGCCATTTTAACAAAAAACTCTGCTGAAAACTTCTACTCTGAGGGCTTTCCATGGAAAATATCTGTCCAAAAAGCTTCACTTCTGAAAGGTATGGTTAGCTTGTAATATAAGAAGGTGAGTTTTGTTGACTGTAGAGGTTGTTACTTCCATGATCACAAGTACCCAGGGACTTGGTTTATATTGTTTGGGGTTTGCTTTTTTCCCCTTATTTCTACAATTTACTCCTCGATTACCAAAGTGGGGGGAAAATGTGTAGCCTTTTGTCAAAACTGGTAGGTAGTAAACTCTTATTATTTTTTTAACTTCTTTTTTCCTTGGTTGACTTTAAAAGAAAGTCCTTTGAACATCCATCTCTGTTGATGTCCATTTGTATATATATACATATATATAAATAGAGTTCTCTTATGATTTTAGCTTGACATTCTAAGGCAGTGTGCATTAAGCTATCATACTCTTGGTCCTCTTGTCTGTCTACCTGCCTGTCAGTACCCATTTGGTGAATTTGACACCCCTTGCCAAACAAAACTAAATTGGATCTACTACTGAAAAAATTCAGAAATTAATTCCTCTAAGTTTCATGGAAACCATATGCAGAGGAATGGGACAGGTAAGGGATTCAAATACCTTCCATTACGTTTAAGCTTAATGGTTTTTTTATCCTGACAGATGACAAGTCAGCACACACGTGCTGTCTCTTCCCCAGCCAGATGGATGGGCGACAGCGAGATGTTAAGGGGAATGCTGTACTGTACTTGGAGGTGGAGACGTGGAACTCTTGCAGTGAGAGGTGGAGGAACAGATTGTACACATCTGTAGGAAATGATATTTTAGCATTTCTGCTGTCCAAGGAACATCTGACATCTGTTTGAAGAGAAGTGAAGGTAATTATAAAAGGATGCAGGGAGGGCTAAAGGAAAAAGGTCTTAAATATGTAGGAAACTAGGCTACATTAGATTTGCTGTTTATGGCATGACACACTAACTTTCAGCCTTTGTTATTGCTATCCTGGAAACAATCCTGAGCAACGGCTTTTGTCTAGTCAACAAATTTTTTATTCATGGTGTTCAGTTTCCTACTTAGGGAAGAACTTTGTAAATAATGGGAGAGGGATTTAATGCCCACAGTTTACTGCAAGACTTAGAAAAGAACATATAAAAAGCAGTTAGTAAGGGGGAGGTCCATCAAGCAATTACAGCCAAGGGACTAGAGTTCTCAGTGGAACAAAAAGGGAATTGGGATCAGGGACTGACATCCCAAGAAAAGGAAGGATTTTTACTGATTTTACCATTGACCAACCTTTTATGTATCTATTCAACATCAACTGAATAAAATTTACCATTGCCCCTGCTCCTGAAAGCCAAAACGTCTGGAAAGCCAAAAGCATATAGTATAAACAGCTGTAAAAATGCTCACTAGAAAAAATATGGTTGAACCTAGCACAACTGGAAAGTATGCTGGTGCTCCTAGACAGTCTTTGACTACTTTAAACTAAGGATTTCTGAAAGCACACAGAATCATGAAATGCTTAGATTTCTCTGCTTTATTTCTAAAATGTTAAAAAAATACTTCGTACAAAAAAAAAATATGGCTTACAAAAATGCATCAATGATTGTTTTGAAATGTGTTTATTTAGTTCATAATAACCTCTCATCTCTTCAAAAATAGGTATTTGAGAGCTCAGATGTCATCTGTTTTCAAAGGCAGTCTGGCTTGATATGTAGTGTTTCTGGAAGTAATACGTTTAGGATGGCCTCTCCTATAATGGGCCTGAAGAAGAGCTCTTCGATAGCATCTGCATCAATGTCTCGAAGAGAGGCGATCAGCTGAAGAATCGAAGCAAACCTGCCCAGGTTTCCATGGAACATTGTTGAGACAAACTCCATCAAGGCTTGCTGGGCTTCCTGCTGCAGTGTTTGTACATATGGGGGACACTTTAGGACACAGCATCCTGTCAAAACAAAAAGTAAAATAGCAAATCTTGAGTATACATTTCTGTTCTAAGCCCTTCAATGGATTTCTGGCTTATAGAACTACTTTCTCTATAGAAAAATAAACAGTTCCTAAATACACTTTTTCATAAAAGAAGATACATGTCGTTCAATAATTTGAAGGAGCATTGAGCAGCATTGTAAGCACATAGGAATCTGGCCTGTTACATTAAAATCCAGCTTTGCAATAGTACCAGCAGGTAAATGACTCGGTACAGATGGAGAAGAAGCTTTATTGTGTTGTCTACCCACCAAAGTCTGAGTAGGTGGAAAAATTCCAGCTCTAATCTACAGTAGGTAGGTAACATCAGGAAGATAGAGATGGTGGTTTGGAGCAGAGAGCAGGCTTGAAGCCTGAAAACATGGTTCTCCAGTCTACCTAGCCCCATCTCCACCCTGTTGTTGCCTCTGGTTACTAGACTAAGCTGGGGAACTATGGTTCACCATGCTATGTAGACACTTTCATTTACAGTCTAAAAAGAGAATAAAGATTCTCTGTGAGATGCATCACGACCCACAGGAGTGGTAACTGGTTTTGTTTTCCCTTTCCTCAGCCATTTCTGCAAGAAGAGAAGTCTCTGTCCTATGGAGTCATTGTCTTGAGCCTCACATACCTCCCATAGCATGTGACCTGCTGGCTCAAGGGCATCTGTGCGTGCCAGGGCTCAGTTCAAAGAACACCCTGTGTTTATCCTTTGCCTCTGGAGGGACTGCCTTGTCATGTAGCTATCAGTGATCTGTTGCCCCCTGTTCTCACCACCTAAGGACAACAACATCTTTTCTTTCCTAGAATTGCTGCAGCCTGGACAGAGGTAGCACACACTCTAGGCCTATTTGGCATCTTTTACAGTGACTGACTCCATACCTCCCTGGGATGGGATCTGAATAGCTTACAACAGGGAGCGTTTCACACAAGATCATTCATTTAAGTATGGGAGGTTCTGCTCCTTGCCTAGTGCCCTCTACTAGGGCAAAACCAACCTGGTTGAGTTTTCTTCAACCTGTAACTGGCTGCTCTTTGCTGGCCTTCAGCAGCTCTCTTGCTAAATATCACTGCCAGAGGAGAGGAAGTCTCAGCCAAACTTGAAACAAGGCTAGCCAGAAATGGAGACTTTGGAAAAGTCGTCATCTCCTCTGGGATTACCAGCAGCTGCAAGCTGTGAGGATGGTTCCAAGTGTTAGATTTTTCATGGAGAGGAAATTGCCAGGACTTTGTATATTCACAATGAAATTGCAATTGTTTATATCCCTTCAAATATGCTTCATTTCCCTATTTGGTATTCTTTTCTGTGTAATGAAACACTGGGTTTAATTTACATATAATGAGACACTTCTTGTTCTGAGATCTGTTGTAATAATACTCAGTCAAACACATGTTTCCAGCTGAACTATAAACCTCTTAAGAGTATCCTTTTTAACAGAAGTCCTGTCATAGCCTTGATGGAGTTTTAATATATATATATGTATAGAAAACACTCCAAAAATACGTCTATATATGGCACTGATTAATTAGAAACATTGTTTTTCACAGTTCCTGTCCCTTCACTGTGCAGTTCCAATAGCTTTTCAGACAATTTGCAAAAGCACAAGAACATTTTCACCTCACTCTGAGCTGTTCCTGTGTGGCAGAACAGTCATACCTGCTTCTTCCTTTGACTTATTGCCTGTGTCCTAGTAGAGAAAGCCTTGCAGCTGGACCTTTCACCCACAGAAACTGTGACCTCTTTGAAGCCACCTAGCTTTTCCCCTGGGAAAAGCAGGGATGCCAATATGTTCTGGAGAGTCTGGATTCCATTGATGCAATGTGCCTGTTTCTCCTCAGGGGCTGGACGCACGCTTTCTTCTTTACAGGTTCTTGCAGGCCCACATGAGGCCAGTTAGTAACCCAGCCAGAGCCTCCTGCAGAGAGGTGCTGCACAGTCTGCTTTTATTTCCATCTCTGGGGCCCTCAACATAGGAAGGATGTGGACCTGCTGGAGCAAGCCCAGAGGAGGGCCCTAAAGATGATCAGAGGGCTGGTGCACCTCTCCTATGACGACAGGCTGAGAGAGTTGGGATCATTCATACTGGAGAGGAGAAGGCTTCGGGAAGACCTTATAGCAGCCCTCCTGTACCTAAAGGGGCTTTACAAGAAAGCTGGAGAGGGACTTTTTACAAGGCATGGAGTGATAGGACTAGGGTAATGGCCTTGAACTGAAAGAAGGTGAGGAGGTTTAGATTAGGTATTAGGCAGAAATTCTTTGCTATGAGAGTGGTGAGGCACTGGAACGGCTTGCCCAGAGATGTTGTGAATGCCACAACCCTGGAAGTTGACCAGAAGGCCAAGATGGGGCTTTGAGCAACCTGATCTAGTGGAAGGTGGCCCTGCTTATGGCAGGGAGGTTGGACTAGATGATTTTTAAGGTCTTTTCCAACCCCAACCATTCTAGTGTAGAACCTACATTCCATCATGCTACCTGCCACTCTCTCAACAAAGGAATTTTTTTAATGATAGTAAGCACAATATCTGTAACACAAGAGATCAGCCAGAGCACAAGCAAAGCTTTGTCGTACCTGTCACACTTCTTATCCAAGTGATGGCTGCTACAGCTGCATGCCTGGATGCCCTGTTGAACTCCAACTCATAACCCAGCTCTGAGCTGCTCTGTACCTGGCCCTTCCCCATTGCCTCAATCAGTTTTGGTGGTCCTAACAGAAGTAAAACATTCAGGGTGGGAGCCCTCATGAGGTACTTCAGAATCCAAGAAAGGGTTTACCACTGTCACTGCTGGTGGCTCCCTGAAATCCTCTTAGAACTGAGGCCTGTAGAATTTTAACATTTTGCCAAACATCACACCAAAACTTGAAAAGTTTGAAAATGTGCTGCATGTATGTAGAAAATATTTTCTGAGTTTGGTGGAAAGTATTAAAAAGCTTTTAAAAATAGTAATTGTGAAATAACAGCTGTACAGATTTGTTTGCAGCAAAGGGCAGTTTGGGGCTGTGCATAAGCCCTGAGTACCCGTTTCAACTCAGAGTTAGACTGTAACTGTTTAATCTGGAGTCAGTCTTGGCTCACCAGAAGTTCTCTAGGCTGCCTTCGTCAGCTTGTGGGGAAATATTCCAGAGAACAGGTTCATCCCACCTATGAGCTAGGCGACATTCCTGAAACACTGGAATGTGTCTGCAGACAGCCTCAAGGCTGCTGGCCCTCTCATGCAGCACCCTAGAGAAGCACCAGGCCTTAGAAGGCAGAAATCCAGAACATAACCCTGCTTCTGCTGCTTTCTCCTCAAGTGAAAATCTCATTTTACCCACGGAGATAATAAAAATGCCTACTAGTTAAACTGTGTAAGCTGCTGCAGATGAGGCATTTCTCTTCTTAGCATCCCCCTAGATATAACTGGAGGTTTCGTTTAGCCTGATTTTACTGTGAAAAAAACAACAAAATAACTTGCACTGAAACAAACTCCACTGATTCGATGCTGCAGCACAGACACACAAGGCAATACCAAACATCTGGATGACATTACACCTCAAGAGTCAGAATCTGAATCCCATTGGAAACAAATATAAAGTCATACAGCTTTTGAGCAGCCTATAAACCATTCACCACAAGAAATATAATGGAATAACTGAAGCATTCATGTATCCTTTTGGTGCAGTCTGAAGTACAGCACACTGCTGACAGTGCAGCCAACAGCAGTGATTGCTGTGGAAGGAGCCGAGGATCTGAGCCAGAGCAGGCTGGAGTCAGTAAGTCTTTCCATTTACTTTAGTGTACTTAGAGCTGAGCTTTTAATGACTCATGCACTCCATGGTGCTGACTGAGGAAACCTTCCTTCCTAAAGAGCCTGAACTTGGCATCTGAAATGAGAGGATGCAACCACTAGTTTTAGTTTGCTCCATGATTGCTGTTGCAGGCTTTGAGTGTAGTGATATTAAATTATATAAATAAATAATATAAACAAATAAAAGCTGTGTAACATCAACACAGCATCCTTTTGCCTCATTGATGAAAATCAATTGATAAGGATTATTTTATCTTCTCCAGAGTTACAGAGGAAGTCTTTGTTAAAATACCTCCAGTACTCACATTGTATACCCATGTACCATCTCTCCTTTGCAGTACCATGGATGAGGCTGCTGTATTATCTTTGAACTGAAAATCAGTTTGAAGTGACACTGTTAATTATTTATGACTTAAAATTTGTCTAATAGAAGCTGTTTTGGCTTACAGTGGGTGACCTACTGCACACAGCCAAGGTACTGAAATAAACCACTTCAAGCAGAAAAGTCATTAAATTGTGGAATATGGATTTTTGAGAAATTTAGCTGTATTCATAGGCAAGAGTAAAACTAAACATTTGTCTATATACAAATGAAAATGCCAAATGTCTTTCTAAGCCCATAATCATCTATGTAGTTTCCAGGAGGACTCACCAGAATTAAAAAGAATAATTCCTTTAAGACAGGCATGTTCTTTTGCACTTATGTCCAGGTCCCAGCATTTCCACAAGAGATTCTTCATCTTCTGAACTTTTGTCAAAGATGCTCCTGGTGATGAGCTGCCCAGATCATTGTTAGCTGTCAAAGACTGATTGAGGAGGATTTTTTTCAATAAACTAGGGACTGAAGTCTCTCTCAGATCAAAATCCACCCCTTCTTGTGCCATGCCCAGGACAAAAAGAGGGGCCCAGTTCTGCTGTATGAGAACAAGCTGATCATCCAAAGGCATGTGATAAAAAGAAGGTAAGTTTCTAATAAAAATTGAAGTCTTCAAGAGCACTCCAGAAGCTCTTCTGCACATGGCTTCTGGTGTTTTCAGGACAACTCTTCTCCTGTCCAAGCAAGAGCAGTCCTTGATTCCTGTGGAGTAGTGGGGACTGTGATGCTGCTGGTCTCACCTCCATGATCTTTGTTAAGGATCTGACACAGGATGCTCTTAGTATGGTGTGTCTCACACTGACATTTCCTAAATTTCTTATTTGGGATCTTGGTAGCCATAGAGCCAGAGTTCCCTGTGACAGGAAACAGCATGTGGGGAGCTATGCATCAACAGCAGGAGAGAGCATTTCTGCCACACAGTGAGGCAGTGCATGTTTTTATATACACAGGCAGTTGAAAAGTAATATGACCTGATCTGTGAAGTTACCTTGAACTTTATTTGCACCAGTCTGTTTCGAATGAGGCGGGGCTGCCGGCTGCTGGTATCACACTGGGCTGCCATAACCCTGGGCCAGCAGAAGGGCTCACACCTGCCGAGGGCACAGGCATCGCTTACCACGGTGCCCCAGTGCAGGCAGACTGTGCCTGGCCTGCTGCCACCAGGCAGTGGCCTTTTGCCAAAGGCCAGCTCTATAACACATACAACCTGCCCCTGAGGGGAAGCCTGGGAAAAACTGTGACACCAAAAGTAAAGAAGGAGCAAGTTGTCTATGTTTTTATTGGTACACTGACATTGCCCACTAACTAATGCTCCTGAGGGCACAGGAATGCATTTATACTTACAAATGATGCTGTGTCACCAGGCACTTCTGTTTCTTGTTTAAAGGAGCCACCTGAAGATGTGGATGTTTACCATTATTTTTCATAGAGCACTTAACAGTGTTCATTCTTTACACCGTAACTAACAGGATGTGTGACACCTGTGTCCCAGGGATGGAAATCCCATGTTTAGGAATTATTTCATGTTTCTGTGAGATTTGAGAGAAACTTCAGAGAAGGTCAGCTGCTATAGCTCATGACGTTATCTCTTGCATTTCAAAAATTATAATTTCAAACACAGAACTTGTGGACTTAGAATCATAGAATCAATTGGTTTGGAAAAGATCTTTAAGATCATCGAGTCCAAACATTAACCCAGCACTGCCAAGTCCACCACTAAATCATGTCTTTGAGCACCACATTTACATGTCTTTTGAGTACCTCCAGGAATGGTGACCCAACCACTTCCCTGAGCAGCCTGGGCATCTGGCATCGATGTAGAATAAGACAATGCAAGGCATCCAGTACAGTTTCCTCCTTTACTTCAGAATACTTCTCCCCAACTTACTGTGTAATTAAATATTCCTCACACAAACCAATGAAGAAAAAATGGCATTTTGTACTGTTGCATGTGTGAACTTCTGTAGCAAAGCGAGAGCTGAATGACTGAATTGTCAGGACTCTTCAGTAAACATCAGGGGACATTAAGCAGCAGGAACAAAAGGAACTCAGCCTAGACGAGAAGAAATTGATACTTCAAGTTTTTGTTACTTCACGCTCTCTTGCTTGCTTTTATATAGGGGAAGAGGTACTAAGTTTTTTTCATCAAGCATAATGTTTATGTATTCCTACCATCTGAGCTATTAACACATCTTAACAAAAAATGAGCATTAAAAACTGTAGGATCCCAAAATCAAATACCTGCAGAATGGAGTCTGAGCGGTCTCAGCAAAAGGCCTTGGGCTACGAAAGCTGGGGGAAAAACCTCGGTTTGAGGACCAGACAAGATATCACTGGTTTGGAATGTCCTGCCCAGACCCAGAGAGACTGTACTCTGATTTTAGCAAGCCTCTGCACAAAATCCATTGTTGTTTTCTCCCTCCCTGTGTATCCTGTGTATTCTGTGAATTTGAATATCTCTCCCCCATGTAAATCCCCAAAAATGTAATCCTAAGATAAGTGGGTTTTCCCCATGATGTAAGTGCTAAACTCAAAAGGTGTAACATGGGTTTTTCCTTGTAAAACTCCCTGTTCGTAGTACCTCACCCCCCTATGAATATGTAGACCCCAGACCCTTAAAATATCAGCCTGTATGTCCAATAAAGGATTCCAGATTCTGCCTCCAACTGGGATCATGTTAGTTTCCTAGACTCCCACAAGAAACAACAGCTCAAAGGTCTTCATCTGCCAGATCTCCAAGCCTTTGGCTAGAGGCCCTCCCATCAGATGCATAGATACAAATTTGTGTTTTGCCACAAATTTTGTTTTTTCCACGCTGGGCCATTTTAAACTTTTCATTTATTTACCTTTCCATTTTTATTTTCCTTTCCATATTTACCTTATCTTGCAAAGTTTTCCCCTTCTGAGATAAAAAGTGGAGGAAGAGATGGCTGCTTCAAAGTTGAGCAATCTAGGAGTATAGTGCTGCTGAGGTACAGCTACCACTAACTGCAGTGAAGGTCAGGGCACGCAGAGCACCACTGGTGGGATTTGCTTGTCCACCTCTCCATCCATTCAATAGCTCCCTGTTGTCCATTGCTGGGGTATCGAAGAGTTCTTTAGGTTAAATGGCATGGCAGTAGAGGAGTCCCCAGATAGCCCTATCCCTCTTATTCTTGATGTAAAATTCAAGCTGGCCTGAGGTTCAGTGGAATGAACTCCAGTTGCAGGGCTAATGTCGTCTGAGGTTCAGCATGAATTACATAGATTGCCTGATGGCTGTACTAGACAGAGAGACTGAGCTTGCAAAAATCATTCTTACATAGCATTTGCTTGTGAAAAGAAGCTCTGTCTTCTAACTGCCAGTGAGCATGGTGGTGTTTCAGCAATCTAGGTCGGAAAGTGACTTCCGAGAAACCCAGCTCCTGTAATCCAAGGAAAAAAAAGCACCATCTCACAGTTGACCATTTCACTTTCACAGTTCAGGTCATTATTTCACAGTTCCTATTAATTGTGCTAATTAAAGTTCTACTCCAGATTAAATTGATTCCTTTCCTAATTTTCTTTTAATGAGATCTGCATCAGTCATATGCAGTGAGTCCTGATGTCAGTAGCATATGGTGTTGAATACCATTTCTATTTGTCATCATGTATTTCCTTTGATCGTGTATATATCTAAGTGGCAGAAGCAAATGATATTTTTTTCTAACAGGAATTTCTGGTATATTATAATAACTTTATGACTGCTTACCAAAAATACAGAGTAAAGGTTACTGCCTCAGTATGAGAGTGCTAAGGACACGTCATCAGCTTTTTCTGAAAGAATGATTATTTAGAATTATGAGCCAATATGGAATTGTAGGTGAAACCTATACTGGTAGTCCTGATTCAAAATTGCCTGAAATTCTGCATGACCCAATTTTCTCAAACATAGAGAACCAGTAGCTAAAGTTAGTGCTATGCACATAAATGAGGCAACAGTTAATTTTTCTTTCTAAATCTTACCAATAGACCGGTTGCAGCTACATGCACCTACCTATAAAGCATCTAAGTCTTCTTGCTACAGTAGCAATGCTTCATACTTTCATATGTTAAGAAAGTATGCGATACAAACCCCAATTTTGTGATATGAGAACTTCCCTATGGATTTTTATCTATTTTAGCTGTCTCTAGCACTATGTTTAAGAATAGGAAGACACAGTCACATCAATGTTATTTTTTCTGTTTTGCATTATTATACTTTTTCAATCTACAAGGCACACACACCCACATTCACTGTCACCACATTCTCTTTGCAACCATCAAAATTGCTCCTCAGGCACAAATGCCAGCATTTGGACAACAAAACAATGTGTCCTAACTACACGCACAAAATTAAAAAGAACTGAAAGAGGGTCAGTTTAGATTAGATATTAGGAAGAAATTCTTTACTGTGAGCATGGTGAGGCACTGGAACAGGTTGCCCAGAGACATTGTAGATGCCCCATCCCTGGAAGTGTTCAAGGCCAGGTTGGCTGGGGCTTTGAGCAACCTGTTATAGTGGAAGGTCTCCCTGTCCATTGCAGAGAGGTTGGAACTAGATGATCTTTAAGGTCCCCTCCAACTCAAACTATTCAGCAATTCTATGATTGCTGCAGACTGCCCTTTGATATTCACACCATTGCTGGGAATAAAAATAATAAATATGCTATTGGGTCTAAAGTATGAGACATATTATTTTTGGGTCATAGTCCATAGAATTAATTCAACTAATAGAATACTTGGAAGGCTTAAGAGACTTGTCAGATAATATAGGAGCTTACATGGCCACCTTATCCTTACCTTGGCAGTAGCCAAACATGAGTACTTCAGGAAGAGTGTATGACACATACCACTCTTCTCATGAGTGTTTTTCTTGCTTTCAATCACTTGTAGCTTGGGGGGAAACCTGAACCAGAATGATTTTATGCATTTAATAACTTTCAATTAATTTCTAACCTCTGATCTTATGCAGTCTGCTCCTGAAGCCACATGAACATCCACATCAGCCTATGTCAAGAAGGTCTGTGGATGCCTGTGAAGTGAGACAAACCTTGACCAAACATGACATTTGCTGGACCTTCTTGCTTTTGTACTGGGAAGAGAAAAAGGGAATCAATCGATCCCTATTCACTCTCTCTATAGTTTGCTTTATTTTCCAAATCTCAGTAAGACACACAGTCATCCTTTGTTGAAACTAGAGAGATGTAGCTTCTTTCTTTAGGGTGGCACTAGGCCTTTGATTATCTTGTTACCCTTCTTTGAATCTTTCTCAGCCCTATCACTTCTCTAAGATATTCTTTAAGGAGAAGTGTGAAAAGAACCAGAACAGGACACAGTATCCAGGACTTAGGAAAACATGGATTTATACAGGGACAGGATGAGGTTTTTCATTTTGCCTTTCCCAGAAGTCACTCCTGAGCTGTTGTTGCCATGAAACTGTCACAGCCCCCAGGTTTTACTCCTGAATAATGTTCATCAGTTCAGAGACTCTTATGTTAGTCAGTAGTGGAGTTAGGAGTGTTTTATCGTATGTGCATCTTTTGCCGTATAAATATATTTATAAATATATACATACACACCTAATTATCATTTGACACCTAATCAATGATTTTCATTAAGCCTTTCTACGATTCTTCTGACAGCCCTAGTCTACCTCAATAATTTTGTGCCATCAGCAGATATTTATATTCTGAAACTTTGAAGGCACTGCTCTTCAGAATAGTTCACTCAATGCTGTGAGTTGTTTAAAAGACTATAATAATTTACCTATAGGGAAGAAAATCTGATGCTGTCCTTGCAGTAGAGTGTCTATATATACAAGATGGCTTATATGTATATGTATAGACACAATGTATATAGTAACTGTTATTACTAAGCAGCGATGTGAACTCTCCTGCTTTCCTAAAAGGTGAGACTGGAAGCAGATGCATTTCTGGAGAAAAAAAATCTTCCACTATTATTTCATATGGGCTACAAGAAGGAAACACCTTCCTAGGAAGCTGACAGCAGCTTTTTTGACATCACACCAGGCTGGTAAATGCACATATTCCTTGACTGAGTGATCTCTTATCTTTCTGGTCTCATAAAAACATTTAATTTGCCTATAAACATCCATATGACTTCAGAACAGGATTCTCTAGAAGTTTTGTACAACTTATTTTCTAGGAGGAGTTGGGTGAATTTCGTGTCACTGGTGCTTTTGAGGACAGTTGACCTCTCCAACAGCCTTAATGACGACAAAAGGAGACAGTAATAAAACCATTATCTTTCTAGAAGGGTTCCACCCCCTCATCTCATGGTGCCAACCATGTCTCTTGAGAAATAAAGGTATTCATTTCTCAGCTAGAGGAACCAAGAGCTACCATTCAGACTGCCTGTTTCGGCTAGGCAGAGACTGGGAAATGTCAGTCCCAAGCTGAAGCCTGCTCAGCTTTGAAACAAGCTCTGAAACAGCATCTTTAGCTTCTGGTAATGCCATGGCAAAGTGACATTTGGCCCCTATGTCTGAAGCAAGTCTACATATATTATGAATCTAGTTAATTTAAACACATTCAGCCTATCCTGAAGGTCAGCGGGTGAACTTCTCAAGAGATAGAAGGTAAGCATGTGCTTAAAATACTTTGGTTGATTAAGGTCTGATAAAATCAGCATTTTTTTGATGATAGCTGTTTGCACAGAAGTAGCAAATTATTAGAGAAGCAGGTGCCCCAGGAGGCCCTGCAGTGAAATGTTGTCTATCACTGAAACTAGGCCTGTTTTAAATTTGCCTCTGGTTACTGAGTTACAGTGAAGGCAAATGCCTCTGAATTTCTGCCCCACATCTTAACATGAAATAGGAGCTCTGAAAAGCCCCCTTCTTAAAATCCTACCCTGGGCATCTAAGTTTAACTCATGTTCTGCTGTTCTTTGTCTTCAGAAACACTGGAGTAGCATTTAAAGTGACTTTTTGACAGGTGCTGCTCACTGACTGAAGAAGGGAGACTGTTTGTCTTCATTTTAAACCACGGACATTTTGTTAGAGATTTTAAGCTGCCCAGCCATACCTCAGCTGTTGCAAATGTGAATGCAAACATGTGCCATCTGGAGCTACAACCAAATCCAAGATTGTAAGTACAGAAAGTAAATAACAGCTCAGCAATGCTCCTCAGTCAGAAGGCAGGATGAGAGAGGAACATATTTCTTAACTCTTCAGCTTCTTATAAATCTAAAGCAGCAATAGATTTCCATGGATGAATGTGCATAAATAAACCCAAAAGAGTTCTTTATGCTGTTTAAGCAAACAAGCAAAACAAAAAAACAAGTAAGAAAAAACCCAAACAAATAGCTGGATAAGTAAATTGTCTCTGATTTTTTAACAGCTCTAACCTGCCTCTCACTAACATGGGGTCAGAGACTTCTTCCTCTGAAAACCCAAGCATCCATCACTTCGGATGCCATAGCAGACATGCTGCTACAGGGCCATTTCTCCCTTGGTGGAAGGTGAGGGATTGGTTTAAGTAGTGTGTGGAAAGGGGTATGAATCTGGAGACATGAGTAGGTTTTAAGCCGCCCAACACCAATTTTTTGTTTTCTTCATACTGGAAAAACTGGTGGATTTTTATAAGGATAAATTGGCAAATTTTTATAAGGGCACACCTTGGAGGGTGGGATGTAAACCAGAAGTGACTTCGTACCAGATTGTGCCATTTTTCTGTAGCTCCCTCATCAAGGAGATGGTGTTTGTACAGTCACCCTTATCAGCATTGGGACAGGCACCATCTGTCATTTTAAATGTAGACAGATACACCACTTATTATTGCTCAGGAGGTGGAAAGTGCTGCAAAACAAGGTAGAAAATTGCCACAGTTTTTGAAAGCAAAGTTAGAAAATGCTCCTGGCTAGCAATGTCATCTCCAGAGTGACACTGGGAAGGCAACTCCTCCCTTCAGTCCTCTCCCCTGCTGAGAAGAGTAATTGAGATGATAAAACTTTTAACATATTATAGAGCCCACTATAATGTTAAAGCTAAGTCTGCCTTATATCATTGAAGATAAATGCCTAGTCTAGTGATTAGCATTCTATAAATACCACAGATTAGCGAGTGAAGGTTAGATGGCAGATTAGATATGTGGTGTATATCTTCAGACTTACCTTTACATATTTTATTTATAATAAATGAGCAAGGTCTTAACAAGTAATCTGTGGTGCAAAAAACTAAATACCAAAACTAAATACCAAACACTAAATATGAAACATTTTATTTTGAAATATATAAGGGGCAAAATGATAATAAGTTCTGATAGAAGTATAGAACTAAGGCATTGAGTTTTCCCTGTAACAAAGTTAACATGCCCAAATTTCCCTCACTATTTGCCATAGGATAACTTCTCTATCAATATTTCTTGAATTAAATATCTATCCATTCAGACTGGGGGAAAGAAAGGAAAGAAAAGAAAGAAAAGAAAAGAAAGAAAGAAAGAAGGAAAGGAAAGAAAGGAAGGAAGGAAGGAAGGAAGGAAGGAAGGAAGGAAGGAAGGAAGGAAGGAAGGAAGAAAGGAAGAGAAAGAAAGAAAGAAAGAAAGAAAGAAAGAAAGAAAGAAAGAAAGAAAGAAAGAAAGAAAGAAATGAAAAGAAATAAAGAAAGAAATAAAGAAAGAAAAAGAAAGAAAGAAAGAAAGAAAGAAAGAAGAAAGAAAGAAAGAAAGGAAGGAATCTCAAAATCTGGATTTTCTAAAATCTCAGAGTATTTAAAAACTGATAGAAAAATCTACATGGTTTGGGTTTGATTCTTCATAATTGGTTACTGATTATGACCCATGGAGCCTGTATGTACAAATCTCCAAGTGTTCACCCAATCCCAGAGAGATTCTTCATCAAATATCTCCTCACCACAGTTTGCACAGAAGAGCCCCATTTCTTCTATCTGTCTTTGACCATGACCCCACTGTGATTGCTGTGACTTTGTTCTACTATAGCCCTGTCAAGGAGTTACCTGCTCCATTCTCTCACAGCTGGTTTCCCTTCTGATCTGAAGTAAGGCTGGGAAGAGTTCAGACATACTTGTGGTAGGGTCTTATTGCAGATCTATTTCCTTACTATTTCTTACTGTTTCCCAAAGGGGCAAGGACAGAGCAGTTCCCACATCCGGGAACTAGGATATCAGGGAGTCCCTGGACCCCAGAGGAGTAACAAAACACATTCTATTTTTGGAGCTTAAACATCTTTGTAAAAGCTGTACATCCAAGTCTATGAAAATCTTCAATTGCATGAGCTTGAATTACTTCAGATTTTTAGAAATTCTCTGGTACTAAACATAACTGATAGTCAATCTGTCAAACATTTACCTAACAGGCACCACTGAAAACCAGTAAGGGCAAGAGTTTGCCAACCTTTAGGCAATTATTTCCTTAAGAGTAGGTTGTTCTGACTAAAGTGGGAAGGAAGAAAAGATGTTGAGTTATACATACATATTGTAAATTGTAAACTAAATTCTATCTCTGAGGCTCTGTTGTCAAGATACTTTGGGGAAAGAGCTGGCTTTCTGATAACCTGCAGAAGTGAAGAAGGAAGACTGAAAACCTTGCCAAAGAGCAGTATGGTTTTGAACAAACAGGCTTGGGAAATTAAGGCTAAGGAAATGAATTTCAAGTGCTCAACCCCTAAGTAAAGTAGTCACAGTGTCTCTGTGTAGAGAGAGTTAGGATGCTGAGAGGGTAGAAGATCCTGAAAGTTTTAAGTAGTACAGGTTAAAAACTGAAGAGAGAGAAAGGAGGAAAAGGTAAGCCTAAGCATATTTAATAAGTGCAGATTATGACAGGATAAATGCTATTTGCAAATATTCCTATGAAAATGTGCATTGCCCATGGAGTCAAAGGTGGCCACAAGACAGAAGCACTTCCTCGCTGTTCACAGGTAGTTTGAAAGACATTCAGATCTTCTGGACCTGCTTCTGTATGCAGTAAATGAATGCTTTGCTCATTTAGTGTTGAAACTTCAGCGTTGTGAGATCAACTGTTGCTTACTCTGGCATTTATCTTATTTCTGTCACTCTGAAAAACAGCTCTGAGATTTTTAGAACCAAGCACATTTGCAAAAATCACATTTTTGAAAGAGAAGTCTGTCTCTGTTTGTCTCATAAAAGTCTGCACTTAACCACTTTTTAAAAAAATATTAAGGTCATTGGAAACTCCATTAAAGTGTTTCAGTAAATCATCAGCTCATTAGAGCAATGGAAATTAAAATGTATCCAATGTACTGATTTCAAACACATTATAAAACTGGGCAAGAAGTCAAGTGTGTTCTCTAGTCTCAGTGTAATGTTCTCTGTCGGGACCCACAGTTCAAGTGATTTCATCATGCCATATGCCAGTGACTGCTCCTAGCTTGCAGAGACTACTGGGAGGTATTTTTCCTTCAGAGATGCATCCATTGTCACTTCTCAGACTAGCCTTTGAAATTAAGCAGAGACATACCCTTTTCTCCCTTAGCCACCCTGGTAAACACGTGTATGAGGAGCATTGACCTCAAGACTGTGTCTGATAACTGAAATTCCCAGCTTGAAGGGAACAGACACCTTAGAGTCCAGCCATGTACTTGAAATTGTGTTCATAAAGGCAAGATTTGAAAACCAGAAATCCAGATCAGTTTAACTGTGAGGCTTGTGTGAAAATGTAAAAAGAAACAAAAGACCAAGCGAACATGTGTGTGCAGTGTTCAGGTTAGTACTCAAGAGTCCTTTCACCCTCCCCAGTTCCTGTGAGAGGACAGTAAGAGATTTGCAACAGTCCTGTGGAAGGTCACATACAAACTCAGATAGACTGAAGCATTTATACTTCTAGGACTTGCTTTCTTTTATAGCTCAGACCCAACAGCGGGGATCATTCATCATCCTGGTTCAAACCCCTCCCCCTTTTTCTCCCTCCTCCTGCCTCATATGCTTCTTGTTCATTAGGTCCAACGGGAAAGGGTCTAGCACTTCCTTCCATTAAGTCAGTACTTGATACCATCTGTTGTGGAGATGTGACTCTCCTTTGGACAGAGCTGGAGGGTTTCTCCTTGCTCAGACAGGTCACAGTGATTCCCATAACGAGCCAAGGCTTACCAAGCTTTCAGCTCATTGTGAAGTAGAAGTGAGCTGGGAAATGTCCAAATCCCAGGATAAAAGTGTTTCATATTAGAACTCCTACTCTGTACCCACACCAAATACCCTGCTCATCATGTGTTAAACTATCTCAAAAGTGTGAACAAATGACACAGCTCATTACTTGATCTTATTTGAGATTAGAGTTGACGGTACCACATGTGGAGGTGTCAGTATTGTGGAGAGTACCTCAGCCCAGTTCTCAGCTCAGTTTGGAGAGGCTTCTGGGACAAAATGTACTAAGCTGACCCAACAGGTCCCATCCCACAGCAGAAGGTCACCCCTTCAGAGCCCTGTGCTCCTGCTCCGTCCTACGCACTTCTGCAAGCAGCATTTGGAAGGACAGCATTCACCTTTGC